TATATATAAATATTAATGAAAGAATCTTCTTGATAATAATATCGTTTTAAACCAATTATTCTTCAAGGAAGATCTATATATATATATATATGTATATATATATATATATATATATGTTCACCTGTGCGATCGTTTTGTTTTGTTTTATTTTTATTTTATGTTTTTTTTTTTTTTAACCATTTTCCTTTTTTATTATTTATACGATATCTCATTAGATTTATTATCTTGATGTGAAAATAATGCGATTGTCGCAAAAACGCAGATAGATCACGTCCTGGCAAGATAACAATATATCAACGGTAATACATTTAATTAATGTATGTCAGTAAAACGTTAATACATCCAATGTTTTTTGTTTGTTTGTTTGTTTATTTCATACTAATTATTTTTTCACTTCTTTTCTAATTTTTCCACCTTTCTCTCTTTCTCTTTCTCTCTCTCTCTCTCTCTCTCTCTCTCTCGCATACATTCTTCCTTTTGTTTCATTCATTTATTTATTTATTTTTATTTTTATTTCGATAAACGATATATCTCCCCCCTCCCTTTCTTTTCATACCAAAACGGTGTTTTTATGTTTTTGTTTTGTTATGTTTTTTATTATTATTATTTTTTTTTTGTTTTTTTTTTTTCATATCCGCATATAAATTTAATTAATCGAAGTGACTTTAATTATAGTTTTTGTTTTTGTTGTTCAAAGATCTAATTATTATTATTATAACCGATTWGAATTTTTTATGCATGTATATACATATATATACATACATACACACATATGGGTGCCTGTTTGGGCCTTTTTTTTCTTTTTCATTTGCAACATCAATCAAAATCATTTGTAAATTTATTGTATTCTACGATTCCTCTTTGATATTATATATATGTATATATATGTGTATATATATATATATATATATATATATATATTTTTGTAATATGTAATGTATAAGTTCACTGATCTACCCCATGCAATACTATTGATATCTAATGTAAGTAATAATAGTTTTGTTTCTTTTTTTTCTTTCTCTCTCTCTCTCTCTCTCTCTTGCTCTCCCTTTTTTTTCTTTCGATGGAACCATTTTTCTCCTTCGAAAATTTGTAAATATACTTTTAACCCTTTGCACATCCTCCCTTCTCACCCCTTCACTCCTATGTCGAGTCTGACTCGTCATCAAAATTTTGTAACATTAGATATACCAGACCAGCCATTTTGACTGGTCGGGCCGGCCATTTTTTAATTCAAAATGTCTACTTCATGATAACATTTGATTTCTGTAAATAATTCAACATTTTGTTATTTAAAAATGTCTAATCAATCCATTTAACTATTAAAATTATTATTGTTAAACATTTTTTTGTTATTTTTTAAGAGTAAATAAAGATTGGAAATCTCAAAAAGCATCTTTTTTTTTGTATACACCAGTCATTTTGACTAGTGTGGTGTAGAAATAGGTAGACTGAAAATGGTGGATGGTATATCTAATGTCGTACAATTTGAAAATTACAAAACACAACAATTGTATAAATAAAATGGTAGTATTATTTATAATTGAATATGTGTTTCATTACTTTATTTATTTTATTCTAAATTTTACCTTTGATTTGATAAATAAATATTTCAAATTTAAACGTTCAAAAGAAAAAAAAAAAAAGAAAAAGGGTTAAGAATTGCTCTATTGATAACAAAATTGAAAAATATAATTCGCATAGTGCATAGGGTTAAACTTTGAAAAAGAAAACACTTCAGATAATTATCTTTTATATGATTCGAATAGATAAAAAATAATCTAATCGAACAATAAGTTAATCAATTAAGCGTGTTTGACGACTATAACCGTCATCGCTTGATTATCGCGACACACACCAGAGCGCGCACTCTGCGCACAGATCATCGCCACACTTTAACTAGTTAAAATCAATCGAGATAGATTTAAAAAAAAAAAAAAAACCGAAACATAATATTATTTATCGTTAGATCTTTTTAAATGGATCGTCCAACTATCGAAGGAGAAAATGAATACACAAAAATGTGTTGTTGTGTTGGATAGATTACACAAAGACGTAAAATTACTGTTATATTATCTTTCTTTTGAGATAACAAACGATCTTGTCACACGTTCAACAAAACAATTATTGATTATTTATTACTTTCAGAAAAAAAAGCTTCTTTTTCTTGTCTTTTTGTATTATTGCATTATTAGAATAATTTTCATGGCAGTTTTGTCTAATTTATTTTCAAATTGTTATTATTTTGTTTTATATTTCGGACAAGACCGTTGTCCACCCATTTGTTTTTCTTTTTTTTTTTTTTTTAAATATAACTGTGTTTATTTTAATATTCTTGCAAATATATATATATATATATATATTTTTAAAACATGTATTGATTTTTTTCTGTGTATATGAATATAATATGTATATATGTTTACGCGTTTATGTTCGTGTATTAATTTTCAGTTTTTGCAAATAAAATCTAATTATATATCTAGATACAAGTTATTTCCTTATATATGTATAGCTATATATATATATTGGGATCTCTAGCACTTGAATACGCTATCTGGTGGCTAAATTCAAAATTAGATTAGATAGGTCGAATTTTGCTACGCCACGCCCCTGCCAGAGATCCCAATATATATATAAATTTTTTTTTTAAATTTTTTTTTTAATTTTTTTTTAAGCAATGTTTAAAAAAATATAAATTTTTTTTTTAAATTTATTTTTAAACTTGTATCTAGATAAATAGAAAAAGCACGTACGACAGTACGTTAACCAGTTAAGCGTGTTTCACGACTATATCCGTCATGGGAGGTGTGACAAAATTTCGTGTTATGACGTCTATATACGTCATGCGCAAAAAACTTTCTTACAAATTGATATTTTCAATTGTAATTTTGCTAGCAAATAATTAAATTATATTCGTAAATTTGAATATGTTTAAAATGTTTAGAGGTGAAAAACAAAAAACAAAAAACAAAAACAAAAAAAAAGTCACGAATAAATACTTAACCTCCATGAGCCTTTTTCCTGGGATGATTAAAAAAAGATCCGCTAGGAGGTGCAGCACCAGTGGAGTGGGAGCCTGGGGGGGAGGGTACATATGTAAATTTTACACCACATCCTGCTTGTACCGACTATCAGATGTACAATTAACGAATGCACAATGTTTTGTAGG